ATCTTCCAACAATCCTGCAAAAAATATTGCCCCAGAATCCCGCGCTTCCTTCCATGCAATGACATGGGCTTATGGCAGGCATCTTTTCTCTTCAGAGTATTGAAGGTATCAGCCATTTCAATTATAACTGTCTCTTTCACGAGCACCTTTTTGTTTTTTCGCTGAGCATATCGACCTCAGGCGCTGGTTTCAGCTTGTAAAAGCCTGTGACTTTTTACTTTGCCTGTGTCCTAGGAGTACTTAAGATTTAAGGTGGTCACAAATCTCGTCATCATGACCTAGTCTAGTGGTTCAGATCACAGAATTCGAACCCGGGCAAACGGCTTCCAGTACTCCAAAGAGAACAATACCATCAAATAGTTTAAACAGAATAAAACAAAAACGATATAATTTTTTCTTATACTCTTTCCTTAGAGATTCTCGACGCACTAAGAGCGAATTTCCTTTGTGTTGTCGGCCTAGATGAAACCACAGGTGTCGAACGCATGGGAGCCCGTGTCCCTCCCCCCCTTCCCCCAGCAATATCGTTGGGAGGACATTACCCTGAAATTACTAGTTAACGAAGGTTCATATCATATTGCCTCTTGAAAGCACGCAATATGAAATGAGAACTACACTGCGACTTAAGACCTAGACCGCCTTGCCTGTCTGAATGCTCACAAGGAATGTATAGATCCGAAAGGTGCGATTTTGTAGCACTTGCTCATAAGACCTGACAACCGCTGCCAGATGACTGTGCCCTTGTAAAGGTCACCTTATCCAAAAGATGGTGTAGATTGAGGAACACTCAAGTTATCGGTGTGCCGCTTACCCTTTTCAACATTCTTCAGCATTACCACCGTTTCCAGCATTCATGGTGTAGACAAATAAACCTTCAAGGTCCTAGGTGATGAGTGGCGCGGCTTGTTCCAGGATGCACCTGCGAGTGCAGAAGCGTCTTTGGAATGGACCATATAAAGTCTGAGTCTGATCATATGGGTACTCTCTCGTGGCCTTCTCAGGATTTCGGGGAGNTCACTGTACGACCCGTGCGTGTCTCGTGTAGGTTGGACCACGGTTTGCTAGTCTTTCAAATGTTATATGGATCATTCCGCCCCAAATTACTCAATAGGGGAAAAGCCATCTTCGATTCTTCTGACTTTTTTGGTAATTAGGTAATTGTAATAGGATTTACTTATACTTGTATAGATTTGTCTAATATCTAACATAGGCTGCTGCGTTTTTTCCCCCACTTTTGGGACAGGCTTGACATGCCAAAAGTAGGGGTCCTTGAAAGACTCGTATCTGGAAAGTGATGAAGGTAATGGTCTCGTGGAAAAGGGGACCAAGGAAATTTTGAAAATAACTGCATTCTTGAAAAGCAGTGATACCAATAATGAAAATAGGCACTCTGAGAAGGCCAATTTTTTTTTTAAATTGTATAAAATGTTGATACTCTGCTTCACACCTATTTTCAAAATTGTATTTTGTCTCCCTTATTAAATCAGACCATAATAAACGTGCTACCTTTATCACTTTTCCAGATATGAGTTCTTCAAGGAATCCTACTTTTGACCAAAAAAAAATTCCACCCCAAGAGTAAATTTTTTTTTCAGTCAATAGTAGATATAAAAAATTTAAATAGTCGAAATCCTATTACAAATACATATCGCCAAAAAAATGAGAAGTCGGAAATGGTCATTGAGCACATTTTCTTTTAGATTATGTGAATTGAGAACGATCCCCTTCGATTCACCAATGTCGGCCGTAGTTGGGACAGCTTCTGGTGGTCCACCAGAAGCTGTCCCAATCCTACTCCATGTCCCAATCCTACTCCATGACAATGCTCGTCCCCATGTTTCACAAGTCACTCTCCAGAAACTGAACAAGTTGGGGTACGAACCTCTCCCTCACCCCCCCTATTCACCGGACCTATCCCCCACAGACTACCACCTTTTCAAACATCTTGACAGTTTCCTCCGGGAGAAATCGTTCTCCAACCAAGCAGAGATTGACACCGCTTTCAGGAAGTTCATTGACTCCAGAAATCCAGATTTTTTTCAAAATGGTATAAGTGCGCTTGTACCTCGTTGGCAGAAGTGCGTTGATTGTAATGGAACTTATTTTGATTAATAAACTTTACTTGGAGCAGAGATATGAAGTCACAAAGTTGCGGGTAAAAAACCGACAGAACTTTTGTAACAACCTAATAAATTTGATCTGGAATCTGTTACAGTCAGCGTTTGCCAATATGGGGCATGGATTGGAGCTGACGAAGTTTGAACGTGGAATGATAATTGGTTGTCATATCGTCTTTTGTCCCAATACTTTTGGCAATATAATGTACAGATCAAGATATAACACGCAGTCTCAATGGCTCATGAGTAGGAAGTGCAAAAATATGGTCATTATTTGTCCTCACCTGGAGGCTCTGTCATTCATTACTTGGCAGTTCATCTGATGGTTACATGCCTCGAAGGCACTGCGATATTCCTATTGTGTAACAGTGGTCCGACTATAAAGTAGTCAATCACGTGAAGTGGTGTAATGCAAACGCAGTCTCATTCGGTACCCCTTATAACTAAGATCCAACGTGCACTTCGCTGGCAAAATGAGAACGAGTCTAGAAAGGATCATTCTGCAAAGATGAATCATTCTGTAGATTTCACTTCTTCCAGATCTTCCAACAATCCTGCAAAAAATATTGCCCCAGAATCCCGCGCTTCCTTCCATGCAATGACATGGGCTTATGGCAGGCATCTTTTCTCTTCAGAGTATTGAAGGTATCAGCCATTTCAATTATAATTGTCTCTTTCACGAGCACCTTTTTGTTTTTTCGCTGAGCATATCGACCTCAGGCGCTGGTTTCAGCTTGTAAAAGCCTGTGATTTTTTACTTTGCCTGTGTCCTAGGAGTACTTAAGATTTAAGGTGGTCACAAATCTCGTCATCATGATCTAGTCTAGTGGTTCAGATCACAGAATTCGAACCCGGGCAAACGGCTTCCAGTACTCCAAAGAGAACAATACCATCAAATAGTTTATACAGAATAAAACAAAAACTATATAATTTTTTCTTATACTCTTTCCTTAGAGATTCTCGATGCACTAAGAGCGAATTTCCTTCGTGTTGTCGGCCTAGATGAAACCACAGGTGTCGAACGCATGGGAGCCCGTGTCCCTCGGGGGGGAAGGGGGTCGTTATAGCAACCCTCCTGTAATGGGACTTTAATGATCAATTGCTTCCAAGTATAGTATAACGGAGAACTTTCGTGCGTTATACTTTACTCTTGATGTGACGCTGAATTCTGCTAGACCGCCTTGCCTGTCTGAATGCTCACAAGGAATGTATAGATCCGAAAGGTGCGATTTTGTAGCACTTGCTCATAAGACCTGACAACCGCTGCCAGATGACTGTGCCCTTGTAAAGGTCACCTTATCCAAAAGATGGTGTAGATTGAGGAACACTCAAGTTATCGGTGTGCCCCTTACCCTTTTCAACATTCTTCAGCATTACCACCGTTTCCAGCATTCATGGTGTAGACAAATAAACCTTCAAGGTCCTAGGTGATGAGTGGCGCGGCTTGTTCCAGGATGCACCTGCGAGTGCAGAAGCGTCTTTGGAATGGACCATATAAAGTCTGAGTCTGATCATATGGGTACTCTCTCGTGGCCTTCTCAGGATTTCGGGGAGAAAGTCTTGGACGTAATGGCTTGGATCATGCCCGTTTCTGTCGCCCTTTCCACGTTCGGAGCTGCAAACGGGACTGAATTCACATCTGGAAGGTGAGTCGACTTAGACTTACATGGTCTTTCTCCAACCATTCCATTGAATGGAGCAGCGGATTTCAAACGTTTTGTTCAGCGCCTTCTTTAGGAACAGACTACTTAGCTTCGACCCATCCCTACAATTAGCGAACGGAGGGGGGAGAGATGCCCGCACCATTGTTTGCTGCTTTAATCGAAAGGTAAGATGACAGCTTGAGTCTAGCGGTAGTTAAAAGAACGGGAAACTGAAGTGATCAACGGTTGCGAGAACGCAGTTTGATACCATTGACTTGAGAATCAACTAAATCGGTAGTTATCTACCCTAAATCAACTTTTTTTACGATTTTTTACAATCGATGACTTTAGGCTTGTCAGCAAAGATGGCTGCCTCCAGTTCGAAGCGTGTTGCCTAAAAGGCGTGTTCTGAATAAGAATTTGAAGAGATAATTGATGTGAGTGGTAGTGATGACGTCGGGCGATATTTTGACAGTGATGATAGTAGCTATCATAGTGAAAGTGAATAAAGCGGTGAAGGAGGTGGAATTCTGAATGACGACGAGCTGGTGAGAAGTCAAACTATACGGAATGGAAAGGATTAAATAACTTTAACTCTTGAATCTCAGCGCCTACAGTTTGAAAACCGTTGGAATGGAGGAACCTCTTTTCTTGTGACGCTTCCCACTGCAGAACCGGATTTGCATGCCTGTAGATTGTGTTATGCGGCAGCTCGAGAGGGACACCTTGTCGACATCCTATCTTACGTGCACGTCCGTCGAATGACACCCAGTCCCGCTCTCATCTTCAATGTGAGCGATTCAAAGAGAGTTGGGCATGCTTGCCTTCTCCCCAGATCCATAGTGATGGTCCAGAAATAGAAAGACACAGGAAGGTCCCAGAGTAGCGAGACCGGTACTAATGGCAGCCACTGTAATTATCGGACTAGCTGAAGAAGTCGAAGTGACGGACCTAAAAGATGCCACCGCGGTACCGCCGACTCATTGTGATGCGCTACACAAAGCGCGATGTTCCGCGACCATATAAGGTCAGATATTTCACCTGTCTCCATCCGTTTCATGTCGAACAACTCAGTCCACACTCCCGATGGTTCGAACTCGACGTTATCATGAATGTTTTGGGTGTGCCCTGTGCAGGTCCACATCAGCATTCCTATCATTGTCATGGTGATCTCAGAATCCGTTTCATGTCGAACAACTCAGTCCACACTCCCGATGGTTCGAACTCGACGTCATCATGAATGTTTTGGGTGTGCCCTGTGCAGGTCCACATCAGCATTCCTATCATTGTCATGGTGATCTCAGCGTACCTGGTGGTGGCACCAATCATCGATAACCCCCAAATGGAATACTTGTATGCAAGTTGTTTCATCGCCGGTGGCCTGATTTTCTACTACCCTTTTGTATATCGGAAGTGGGTGCTCCTTGGCATGAGTAAGTCAGACGTGGATGACTTGGGGAGGAAGCCACCTCCCATCGCCCAAAATAAAAAATCTAAAAAATGTTATCATGGAAACAGTACACATTTGAACCTCCGACTTTCCTTTTTCTTGCAGACAAGATAACTGTACTCTTCCAGTTGCTGTTGGAAGTGGTGCCAACTGACAAATTGTCCGGACTGTGATCATCCTTGCCTCAGCTCAACTGAGGTGTTTTTTTGGAATGCATGCTTTCTTGAGATGTGTTGTCTGTGTGATTGGTTTTGTTGCAAGTATGAAACTGATGCATTAATTATTAGAATCGGAGGGCATTCTTTAGACAATGTGGAGCCAGAAGAGGCGAGATTGTTTGGCCTAACTGACGTTCAAAAGGGAGAGAGGGTATATAATCTTGGAATTCAATCAGTTGTAGTGCCAGTAGGCGTGAAATTTTGGGACTTCCTTGCGGTTTAGAGGCAAGCTGACGACAACGGTTGGTGTCAAGCTGAAGCGAATCTTACGCGAAATTAGCTCATAGATGGCGATAATTTCATTATCT